CTCAGGCAGTTCAGCAGGGCCTGTGATGGGTGGGGCACCCATTCAGACTTCTTGAATGCCTTTAGGGCTTTTTTCCCATTGTCCTGGTTCTTAGCATCTGGCTGCCCCATCCCCAGCTCCTGAATTACTTCAATCAGCTAGGCTTACACTGGCTATTCACTCAGTCTCAGGCAGTTCAGCAGCGTTCGCCCACACAGTTAAAACAGCTGCATTCTCCCAGTCCATCAAGGAGTGGCTGCCCTGGCCCTGTGCATATCTGTGGCTCTCCTGTAACTGCTGCCACAGAGACAGGCATGTAGGAACAGAGACTAACTTTTCCACCTTTTCACCAGGTGAAAACATACTTGAATTTCTACAGGGGCACCCATCCCCGGGTCATCTGCCCATATGCATGTGGCACTCTTTTCTCAGGTTTATACGGCACCCATCAAGCCATTGGGTTTAAGTGGCACACTTCAAGCCCTTTGCCTTCAGACAAATGCAACATGTGTGTACTATATTGTCTCTAGAGCACGTTACACCATCCACTCCTAGGTCCCATAGTTGCAGAAGCCAGGGGCTCTCCTTGTTTCTGCTGCTGTACTGTCTCAATGTCTCATGCACAACAGGTAGTGCCTAGAGATGCATGGTCTACCCCAACTCAACACTGGGTTGGTCTTCCCTGGTGTGAGAGGCAGGAGTGGCCAGTTACTGCACATCATCCTCCAAGACATTTATCCTTGCTTTCAACAACTCTGCTTTCTACCACAAATCTTGATCAGTTTGCAGGATAGCGATCAGCAGCCAGGCTCTGGTCAGCAGAAAAGTGGCCACCAGGCACCACATGCTCAAGGATAGCCACATTTACTCCCCTTTCCAAGGGGTTTTGCATTGTAGTACCTGGTCTATGCTGTCTTGCAGTACAGTGTGTAGCAACCAGATCTCAGTCAACAGGAAGGTGGCCATAGGGCAGAGCATATTCAAAAGTTGCCACATTTCCTCCTTCTTCCAAGGGCTTTGGGCTCCTGTATCTGCTCAGAATACTGCCAACTATGCCAACTGTCAAGCTAGGGTTGGGTCTGGAGCTCACAGACCCCTCAAGCCCATTTACAGACCCTACACACACCAGGCTGAGTCCCCAGATCCCTCACACTCCAGGCTGGGTCACCAGAACCCTCACACACAGGTCTATGAGCTAGGTAACTGGCCAAAAGTTCCTTGGAAGCCATAGGTTGGAAAGCACGGCTGCATGTGGCTGTGGCCACCTGAGGCAGATGCCAGCCAAGTCACGGCACTGTGCATGCGCACTAATTCCACCCCCTCCCACACACAACCTGCTCACAAAGAATGCACCGCACCACCCCCAAATGGGCCTAAGGCGAGGGGACCTGACCAAACCACTCCACTTTCCCAACATTAATAATCCGTTAAAATTATCATCAGAAAATCCTGTTTTCAAATGTATCTGTTCAAAACTGTCATTCTATGTGCTGCAAAGCTTTGATTTGCTTCAAGAGATGAATGTGACTTTATGATCTGTATTCAACCATAAACAGCTGCTCATTAATAAAAAACCATTAAAGTCCAAGTCGGAACAGCAGGCCTAAAATTGCATTTGCGTGAAAAAAAAAAAAACCACAAAAACGAAAAACTAAAATCACCCTTTGGTGAAATGCAAGGGAACAGGGTTAGGGGAGATCTGGGAGCACAGAACTCTGTTTGCAAGGTCTGCTCCTAACTTCTGCGCCAGATCAGTTGACAAGACAGGACTCAGCCCCAGCTGGAGAATTCAGAACAAAGCCTATGGAGGCTTTGAAAGGGGAGTAAGTGGTGGGTTGGAAGCTGATAGAGTGAATAAATTAAGCTAATGATTGGGCAGTGGCTGATCTGAAGCTTTGAAGTGGGCAAAACGGGTTGGACACAGAGCAGGCAGGATTAACTATATACCCCATGGAGTAAAAACAATTCATAAAGAATTCTTTCATATACCAGTTTCTTTCTCTTTTGTTCTTCCCACTTGACATTTGGTGGTCCCCTGCCCCCACCTCACACAAGGTTAGAACAGAGGACAGGGCTTAAAATTGCAATTCCACATTCCCAAGAGGTGGTCCCCAAGCAAGATCCCAAATTATTGACACCTATGATTCCCAATTATGGAGTTACTGCTCAACAAGTAGAGATGATTTTAAAATATTATTTTACAGGTATTTCTAAAGTAAATTATAAGTTTGCAATCTTTAGCAAACTTTGTTCTTTTCTATTTGTTTTGGTTTTATGTTGAGAAAAGTACTCAGTAACCAATTGTTTCTGGAAAAGCATATAACTTTTGTTTTATTTGGAAATGGCAAATTTAATAAGGAAAACTGAACAATCATGAAAAAGAAGAAAATACCATGGGGCATAATAAATCATGTGATGCAAAGATTTAAGTTGTTAAAGAAAAAAAAAATGAAAACATGTTTATGTCAGTAGGTAGGCTATTTTGGATTATTGGACTTTTGGAATTCAAAAAAAAATTGGAAATTTTATATTATTGGAATTTAGGAATTAGAAGAGATTAAAGTTAGAGCAGGTATTTAAGGGACTGCAGGGAATTTTGTGGACGTTGGGAAGTGCCGTTCCTGGGAATGATGATGTAGTAGTGTAGTAGTGTAGTAGCAGTAGCTGAAGTAACAGCTTTTACCTATGAATGTTTGCTACATGCTAGGCTCTGCGCTAAGAGCTTTACAAGCATTAACCATTTTGTGAAGCAGTCATTATTATGGCCATTTTACTGATGAGGAAACTGAGGTTAAGGGATAATTTATCCAAGATTACATAGAACCATTCCAGAGCAAGAGATAAACACTCGTTCCTCCCTGCTTGGGGATAAACATAATAAATTATTAATAGAAATGTGGTGCAGATTGGAGCACGGAGGGTGGGGGGATCACTACAAAACTAAGTGGGTAGGTGGGTGCGGGGTCAGGGTGAGAGAACAAAGGTAGCTGTAGTTAAGAGAGAGTCATATAAAGAAAAAGCCTGATTAAGATACAATTTGCATAAACTTTTCAGCCTTTGACTATATTAAATTCTATTCTCCCTCATCAGTCACTTTGCAACACTGGAGTTTTCTGAGGGTCGTTCGCCCATAATAGCAAAGAACTATAGCCTTTAAAGAGCAAGCAAGATTAAAAAGGGGGGGGGGGGAACAACCGCATTTCGAAAAGAGAGAGAACCATCGAAAGAAAGAACACCTAAGTTTGG